GGCAGTGGCCCCGGGCCCTGCGGGCGCGCTGCAGCTGCCTGGCTCACCTCCTGCAGCGTGGCAGAGCAGAGCTCAATGGCGATGTAGTGGAACTGCCTGTCCTTCTCCGTACAGAAGTAGCGCACGACATTGGGGTGCTCGTCCGACTCCCGCAGCAGCTGGACCTCCCGGTCGAGGAGGTGAAAGCACTCGGGCAGCAGGCGGTTCACAGCCCGGAGGAGAGCGCCGCCGTCACCCCGCCTGCCTCCAGCCAGGCCAGAGGCGCCCGAGCGCCGGCCACAGGGAACATCCAGCCAGCAAAGACGGGCGCCCGTGGGCTCCGCGCGACATCGGGCGCCACGAGGGTGGCCGGGCCCAGGCCCACGTCGCTGCAGCCCTGGAACAGGCTGGGTTTGGGGAAACCTCTCCTCAGCAATCAACCCCCAGCTCCCCGGCCTTCAGCGTGCGCTGGGGCCTGGGACCGGCGCTGGAGCAGCAGCCTGGAGGGTTCGCTGGGCATCGGGCAGACCAAGGACGGCGCCAGAGCAGCGCCCGGGCAGGCTTCCTCGCGTGCCTCCATGCCAACCCGGGGGGGGCTCAGCCCTCGGGGAGCCGACACAGGACTGGGAGATGCCAGCTTGGTCCGACGGCGGGGGGAGAGGAAAGCGCGAAAGCCCCTGCTACAGGCCCTGCCAGACCCACCCCTAGGGCCCTGCCAAGCCAGGCCCGCCTGGCTCCCAGCTCCAGGGAGGACTCAGTCGCCGCTGCCCCAGACCCGGCCTGGCCTGAGCACAAAGCAGGGCACTCGGGGAGCTCACCTGAAGACAAAGGTCCCCCTGGCTCCATGGCCCAGCACTTCCTTGGGGTTAAAGGAAACCGTCCCAACGACGGTCACATCTGGCTCTGCATCTGCAGAGGGCAAGAGAGTGAACATCGCTCGCCCTGCCCTGCCTGACTCACGGGCACGCGCCGCCCAGCACCGGCCTGCCCCACGGGAGAGCCCCCGCAGAGAGCCTGGGGAAGACGCTATCCTGGCCTGAGCTCTAGAGCCTGGTGCTGCCCCTGAGCTTCGGCTTCTCCCCTCCAACACCGGCCCCCGTGCTCTGGGACGGGGACATGACCACAGCCCTGCCAGCCCCTCCCCCCCTGCACAGACCTTCTGCCGCTCCGGACGCAGCCCGGCCCTGGTCCGCCAGCCCGTTGGGGAGGCCCTTCAGCGAGGACGGGCCTGAGCTCGGGGACAGCTGCAGAGACGTTCGCTGGCTTCCCCCGCCCGCCTCCTCCGCGCCGGGGGGGGGCGCGCGC